CCAGACCCAGGCTTCTTGCAGCTTCAGCTACAGACTCCTGCAGTGTCCCCAGCTCAGGTCAGGGGACAGGGATGCCTCAGGGAAGAAGGGAGGACCTTATAGTGGCTTCTGGGTGTCACCCCCTGAATGGGGCAGCCTGAAGGGGGCACTGGATCTGCAGTCCAGCACCTCTTTGGCTCCAGGAGCCTGGGCTTGGTTTCCCTCTGTGCAGGGAGGGTGACAGCCAAGACCTGGATGTTAACAGGCAGGGGTCACCAGCACCTTCCTCCTGTCCATGTGTCCTCTTCCCTGACACAGCCACACAGTCCCATCTGAGAGAAGTCCACAGCGGGGTTGGGGGCTGGAGGGTGCTATGGGTAGCACAGCATGTCAGCCTTCCCTCAGCCTGCCTGGCCTGGCCCAACTGACCAGCTGCCCATGCAGGCAGCCCCAGGCCCGGAGACAGCTTGAGCAGCCATCATGCCAGCAGCCCTGTGGAGAGTGGGGACCAGGAGACGGCTCCTTCTGCACACAGACTGTGCTCTGGACATGCTCTGCCAGGCGTGGGCCCCTCATCACTGGCACTGACCAGTGAGGCTGGGGGTCTCAGGTTACCCTGAGACAGTGGGAATAGGTGTTGCCCCCTTAGTCGCAGGGACTGTGCTTTGCAGCCCCACACCGGTCAGCCCAAGGCTGCTGACCCCTCTGAAGATCTGGGGAGGCCACAGCTGATAGTGTAGGGGGTAAGCTGGCTGCAGGCTGTGACCATTGTTAGCGGAAAGAAGGTGAGGGTCCGGGGGCCCTGGTCTCGGGATACCCTGGTCTTAGCACACAGGGAGTAAAGCCCAGTGAGGCTTCGGTGATTAAGGAGGCCCAGAGTGGGGAGGAGGCCAGGACATGGCGAAGTCCAGTGTCGGAAAAGGCGGAGGGTTTGGACAGGCTGGCTCAGCCCAGCAGGGCAGTCCTTGCCTGGATGGGTCTTTGCAGAAGTTTGGACCAGAGGAGGAGAGGCAGCAGCACCCAGGGGAACCAAGGGGTGTGACCTGGACACGTTTCTGGGCTTCCAGGAGGGGTCTGTGCATAGGTCTGGGCTTGCTGGGGGCGCCCCGAGAACTTAGCTGTTGCTACAGCAGCAGACAGCCTGTGTATGGGGGTGGGGGCAAGGGGGTAAGCATCAGGCCGTCCCATTGGGTGCTCAGTGACTGTCAGCATCATGCACAGGCAGGTGAGGCTGGGTTACCAGCTACCCCCAACCTGTGCTCTCTGACCACGGAGCTGCTGGGCACAGCCCCTTCCTCACTGTGGGGCTGTCCCTCTTTCCTCCCATGCTCATGGCCTGCACATTGGGACCCATCCCCAGCACATTGGAGCAACTTTGGTCTTGGGGAAGTGGTCCCTGCCTCCTGAGGCAGTGACAGTTCCCCATAGGTCTGGGGCTTTGTCCCCCCGTGACCCTGAGCATGTGAGACCCCTGCCCACACCATCTGGGCTGCAGTCCCCTCATCTGCAGAATGAGTAGGGGTCTCAGGCAGGCATGTCTGGCTCCAGTGCAGTCCTAGGGGTGGCCCTGGTATCCTTCCCTCAGCCAGTCTTGGTGCAGGGTAGGGTGGAGACCCCAGGGCCCTCCCTCTGCCCCCAGCCAGAGACTCATTTCAAGCCATTAACCTTCTCTGCCCGGGCTGCTCATGGCTGCCCGCCTGTCACCTCCATTAACGCTGGGGCTGTGCATGCCAGGGCTTGTGGGCAGGACAGAGAGCCAGGGCACAGGGGAGGTAGGGGCTGGGCGGGCCTGCCAGGGTCAGCAGTAGTAAGTGCCCAGGGCAGCCTGTCTCATCCCCTCAGTGTCTGCACTTGGCCCCCACCAGGACAGGTGCGGGGGCTAGGCCGGCCTGCACCTGCCAGTGGGCAGAGGGAGGGGCTGGAGCCCCCAGGCAGGGCCTGAGGCCTGGGGCCCACGGTGGGTCTGACCAGAGGCAGCAACTCAGTGAGCCACCTGGGTGGGGTCAGTGCCCAGTGGGATGCTTGGCCAGAGCTCATGTTTGCCCGTTCACTGATGAGCCCTGGATACATGGCAGCCCCCAAGTGCATGCGAGACCTACAGCCCAGAGTGCATGGGGCATCCCTGTGGCTGTGTCCTCTCTGCCTATTCAACATGGCCTCAGGGATCCCAGGCAGAGAGGCGCAGGCCCAGGGCTTGGCCTGAGGGCTCTGCACCAGCCAGAGGCTGCTGACCTTGATGGCACTAGGGAGCCACAGCAGGTGCACAGCAGGGTCGTGAAGGAAGGCTGGTTGGGGGAGGAATGGGGCTGGTGACCAGGTGGGCAGGGAGAGCCCAGGATGAGGGCCAGGAGGCAGACCCGTGAGGGCTGGGTAGGGTTATGACCCACGGTGAGTGGCACACACAGGGCCTGTTGAATTTTCCTCCTGGGATCTGTCTGAGTTGGTCTACCCTGAGGAAAGGGGGCCCAGGAGGAGGTCTCTGGGTCCAACTTCCTGGGCCTGTGCATAATCCCACAGGCAGCTGGACCCTCCCTAGTGACCCCAGCCAGCCCTTAGCAGCCTCACTGTGGCCCTGACCACCCCAGAGCTCACTGCTGAGTGCCCCTCTGAGAGTCCCCAGCTGGGCCCCTCCCCAAGTGCTCCACCTCTGGACACGCTAGGTCACTGGCCCCCTGGGGTGGGCTGTGGGGTAACCCTCTGTGTGCTGCAAGCCTCGTGCAGCTGGGGTGGATGAGGCTCCTGGACACTCCAGGAGGGCTGAGGCCCTGAGTTGGGACTGAGCTCCCCATCATGGGAGGCATGTGTGCTGGGGCAGGGGCCTCACAGATCACAGAGGGAACAGCCGGGCTGGGCGGGTGGTATGAGAGGCTGCGGCTGCCTAAGCCCCCACCCGGTCTCTCAACCTGGCACTGGCCGAGCAGTGCCTGGGGCCGACAGCGGCCATATGTTGGGAAGAGGAGCCGAATGCGTCGCTCTGCGGCCCCCGGGGCCGGCCTTCCTGGACCTGTCACAGATGATTTTCCCCGCCTGAGTGGCAGGCCGGCTGGCGGGTGGGGCAGTGGGGGCCTCTGAGCTGGTCCCACATCCAGGCGCCCCCCCCCCCACAGCCTTCAACATCGGGACTTGCCACTCTTGGGGTTCTTCCAGGTGCTGGACCTCGGCCTGGACCCCCCATGTCTCACTGAATGCCCTCACCCGTGTGTGGTCCCCACACGCAGGTCAAGGTCAGAGGGTCCTGAGAAGAGCCCTGGATGGCCAGCGGGGCCCACGCCCTACTGCTCGGATGTGGGCAGGCAGCCAGGGGTCCACACTGGGCAGTCTTGCGCCTTGGGGCAGGCGGGAGGGCCCTGGCGGAGGCCCTGTCAGCCCAGTGCCCAGAGCCTTGCGGAGGGAGGCGGGGAGGCTGCGGCTAATTTGTACACTAAGTGCTTCTGACAGGGACGCCTCACAAGTGAGAACGCGCCACTGCTCGCCCCAGGAAGGCCACTGCGGCCAGCAGCACCAACAGTGAGAGGCCTGGAGGGGGGGCTGTGGGGGCACAGAGCTGTCCAGGCCAGGCAAGGACAGGGAGAGAGGGCCAGGGACGGGGTGATGGCACAGTCCAGGGGATGGGACCAAGGACATGAGACATGGGGCAGGGGAGAAGGTGTGGGAGCAGAGGGGAGGGGTGGCGTGCAGAGCGAGGAGGGGAAACGGCCGACACTCACACCCTCCCATCCACACCCTGCTTCAGCTGCTGGTCCTACCTGTCCCTCACACGGGCTGTTTGACCCCCCTCAGGACAGGCCAGGGGCCCCGGGGGCTGCTCCAGCAATGGCCGGCCAGGGCCACAGCGGATGGGGTTCACTTCTTAGGCCAGCCTGGCCACCCCCATCCCTTCTCTATGCACCACCGGTCCCCCCACAAAAGCCCCTCAAGCGGCCCCCATCTCCCTGCTGAACCCCAGCCCAAGGGTCTCACTTTCGGGAGTCCCGACTCCTCTCTGGATGCCCTCCACCTCCCCCACTGGAGTGGCTTCCCCTGTATGCTGTGGAGGCCCGTGTGGCCACCAGAGGTTCCTTCGTGTGTACTGCAGTCCTGGGTCCCTTCTCGGCCACCCTGGTGGGAGGGTGCAGAGGCCAGAGAGAGGTGGGAGTCGGGTGGGGTGGGGCCAGGCATGGAAGAACCGGGGTCCCAGGCTGCCCAGGGGGAACGAAGCCAGATCTGTCCTGGAAGCATGGGTGTGTGCGGGTGGCCCCCACTGGTGGGAGAAGGTCCAGCGTGGCTGCGCAGCCGCGGTGGAGCAGGGCGGGCGTCTGCAGGCATCGAGCTGAGATGTGTGGTGGCAGCTCCCCCACTGCCTGAGGCCCGCCTGGAGCGAACACTGCTGGTGGCTTTAATTGCTTTCACATTCGATAGGCCGGCCCGTGACAGGCCTCTTACACCCGCGCCCAGCGCTGCCACGCCCCCAGGCCCCACCCCATCCTGGGAGGGCTCCTCTAGCTCCTGCAGGCCCAGCTGCTCAGCATCACCTGTGACACAGAGATGGATGAGGCCAGGAGGGGACGCAGGTGCTGACTGGGGCCAAGCAGGGGCAGGAACCGCCGCCATCCCACCACCTGCCTTAGGAGGAGCCAGAAAACTTTTATCCCCACACTACCCCCCTCGCTCCATCTGCTCCTGCCTGATGACTGATTGGTTCAGACAGGGGCCCCTAAATGCAGACGTCTCGCTGGGAAAAACCATGCACACGCCTGTCCTGACTGCAGCCAGGGTCCTTCTTGAATGAAGGGCTGAAGCCCCAGGGCCTGGCCCAGCCTCTGCCCCACCTGGACACTCAGTCCTTCCTGGATCGCGTCTGCCTGGCTCCAGGACCTGGCGCCTGCTTTGTCCCTGAGGCTCATGCACCATGGAGCCACACCAACCTGGGTCTGCTCAGAGCAAGTGCATGGGAACCAGTCACCCAAAGACCCCACCTGCTTGCCTGAGTGCTGGGGAGGGGGAGGGCTCTGGGACCCTGAGAGGAGTGACGGAGGAAGAGGTGTCCTTACAAAACAAAACGCTTTTATTTGGTCCACTGGAGCCTGAGTCTGGAAACCACCCATGGAGAATCATATCATACAAGGAGAAGCTGACAGTTGATAAAATAGTCTCTGTGTCAGAAGAGCTGGCCGTATTTACAGGGTTAAAAATATTCACAGCTCAGAGTAAAAGGAGGCCCAAAGGGGAGAGGGGAATGTTTCTCTAGGTGTAAAACCCCCCCCAAGGGATGTGAGGGCTGGGGGCTGGCTGGCGCCACTGCCTGGGGGCCACAGGATGCTAGGCTCAGATGTCCACGGGGCAGATGAGGGCTCTGGCCCTGACAAGCAGTGGGGGGTCCCTGGACAGGTGGGTGGCTCAGCTCTCTGGGCTTCTGGGTGGGGGGAGAGTGGCCACACCCTGCATGTGCCTGTGAGGGAGCTGGGGTCCCCTCTTTGTGGCAGAGCCAAGGCCCTGAGGCAGGGCTGGCCCAGGACTCTGCTGGAACCTGCCCCGTTGGTCGGCATCAGGTGGTGCTGAGGACAAGCCCCTCTCCAGGCTTCAGGGCAGGGGCTGGCTCTCCACCTGCCACCCCATCATGGCTTCCATCCTGGCGGCGCCCTGGGAATTGCATAGTGTCGCTGGGGGGCAGCTGCACGGTACTCCTCCGGGCCCAAGCCCAGACCAGGGCTACCAGGCCCCTGCCTCCTGGGACGTGCTGCTCAGAGGCCAGAGCTCTGGGGCCGGTGCAGACCCCAGGGACCCCCTCGTGGGGGGCAGGGAGCTGGGCTCTGGGACAAACTGAGAAGGCTTTGACCTCCTGCCCCACAGAGGGCTGGTCCCTGGTATCACTGCAAGGTTTTGGCCTCTGACCACCCAGATTTGATTTTGTGAACAGAGCTCCAGCTGCCTCACCCATGCTCACGGGAAAGGGGCAGCCCTGCCATGGCCCCACCTGTCGGAAGCTGTTCCCGTGGCTGGCAGGTCAGAGGGGCGGGAGAAGCCCATCCAACTCGAGGTATTCTGCTTGGCGGCTGGGAGGCCTGGCTAGACAGACTGTGGGTGCTCAGAGTGGGGTGGAGTGGAGCAGGGAGGGGGGCCCATGGGAAGCGGCACCCTGCGGCTAGCAGCTCCCTGGGCAGGGTCCTGAGATTCTGGTTCAAGCGTCCTCCGTCGGGGTCTCCCTCGTAAAGTGCGTGTGGGTTCGGCAGTCACAGCGGCCGGGGCCCGTGCAGGCCGGCAACCTCAGGCGTGAGAGGGGGGCTGTGGGTGCCCTTGGCGGCTGTCCAGTCGCTGAGAAAAGCCTGGGCTGCCTTGCGGTGTGCCAGGCGGTGGGTGATGGAGAAGCCGGCATTGCCCTCCAGCTGGGACAGGATCACCAGGACCTGCCTGGGGGAGGGGGCCAGTGAGGACCGGAGGGGACCCTAGGGGGGCCAGGGGTGGGGGCTGCGCACCTGTGCAGGGGCGGGACGCTGTCCTGTGTGCGCAGGCTGCCGCGGGTGGACACCACGTTGAAGCTGTCGGTGCAGTCACACTGCACGTGCAGGTAGGCCTTGGGGTGCCGGTTCTCCACCACCACGATGAGCCCCGCCCAACCGTGCGTCAGGTAGTAGCAGGTCATGCCCTCACGGCCCTGAGCACATTACAAGTGTGGGCAGGGCCTGGGTGAGAGGGGGTCGCCCCACACGGCAGCCCTCCCTCGGGACCCCACGCACCTCGTGGCGCTCGCCGCGGCTCTCAGTGAGCAGTATGATGGCATCGGCCAGCGTTGTTGGCTGGGCCTCCACCGGCTCCACCATGACCAGCCGCGAGCTGTACACAGCAAGCACGTGGCCAGGCGGCTCGGGGGCACCGCGCGGAACCCCTGCCGAGGTGCTGGAGGCTGTGGGGGAAGGTGTGTGAGGGGGCCACGGCCCTTGGTCCATGGGGTGGGCTGCGGGCTCTCGGGTGGGGGGCCGTTACCCTGCACGGCAGTGGGGGGCCCTGGCGGGGTCGGGCTCCAGTGGTTGAAGGCACAGCACACCACGGCATACTCGCCGGGCTCCAGCATGACGTCGCAGTTGACGAACTTCTTGACGGCACGTTTGCTGTGGGCCAGGAGGCGGCCCAGGCTCAGGCGGCCGCCGCTGCCAAAGGTGGCCCGGAACACCAGGATGCACAGGTCCAGGAGGTGGCTGTCCACGGTGTCTGAGCGCCGGCTGCCCTCCTGGAAGAGGGCGAATTCCAGCGAGGCGCGCTCCAGCACCGTGAGAGCTGTCACGCCCACAGGCCCATTGGCCGTGCTGGGGAAGCAGCCCTGCACCCGTGCCTCCTGCCAGTCCGAGTGCACTTTGCAGATGTCCACAGAGTCGAAGTACCTGGGGCAGCAGGAGAGCAGCCCCTGAGCTGAGTGCAGCCCCATGCCTGCTCCCGTGCCCACGGCAGGCGAGTGCCCTGCAGGTGTCGCCAGGAGCCCATCAGCCTCTCCCAGATCAGCAGCAGGTAAGCCCTTTGCGAATGGCCCCCAACCAGGGAAGCACTGTCCTGGCCGCTGCCCCTTGGACACTGCCAGAGGGTACTGGGCCCCAAGTGGAGCGCTTCCCCTGCCCCAGGTGAACAGGATGGCAGGTGGTGCCCCAGCCAGGAGACGGTACCTGATGAAGTCACTGTACTGCATCCAGAAGACACCCTCGCTGCTGCCATGGGGCATGAGCTCCCCACGTAGGTGCCCTGGCCAGTGTGGCCACTCGTCTGACCAGCTGCCATTCCAGGAGAAGCGGCCCCATGGGTTCCGGAGCCGGAGCAGCCTGGTGCCTTGGACGTCACGCACATCCAGAATGGAGTAGGCATGGCGGGGGCGCAGGCCCAGGCCCTCGTAGGCGGCATCGTCCACCTTCATATTGCCCCCCCCACAGGAGGCGCCCATGAGGAACCTGTGCAGGCAGAGTGGCCCTCGCTGACCGGGGGCCTCTTGGCCTTGCCGGCCCTCAGGGCAGGCAGGGGCAACAGGGGGAGGATCCCTTCCCCGCCTGTGGGGGAACACAGGTCCTGGGGACCCACACGAAACCTGCATGTTCAGGAAGTGCTGGCACAGTCCCCCGTTGTGCCTGAGAGCTCAGAGGGCTCAGGTCCCCGGCACAGGGGCATCAGCTGAGAGCAGGGTTCTCAGCACCCAGAGCCTCCTCTGTTAGTCCCTCAGGTCAGGACCCTCCCCACAGGCTTCCTCGGGTCGATGCACAGACACACTGACCAGCACATGGCGGGTCTCAGGTGCACCCCCCCGCCCCACCCAGCTTGAAGTGGGAGGTGATGGTCACCTGGGATCCCCACAGGCCCAGGTCAGGCTGTGTCCTGGCCAGGCTCCTAGCGGTGGTCAGCCTGCGCTGGAAACATCTTGTGCAGCGCAGGGCGCGGGTCGGGGCACTCGCCCCCCGCTTCCCACCGCTCCGCCTCGCCTCTCCTCCCAATGCTGCTGGCAGTGGCAGCACCCGCCCCTCTTACCCAGCCTCCTTAGAACTCAGCATTTTGGCCCAGATGAGGTCAGTGTCAACGGGCTCCTCGCGGGGGTTAGTGGAGCTGACCTGCAGCGCCAGGCTCTCGCAGGGGGCGCCGGTGAGTGTGGCCAGGCCTTCGATAGCGCGCCCCGCCTGGAGCGCAAAGTAGGAGCCGTGCAGCTTGGCCAGCGCCTTCTCGATGAGGGCCACCCACAGCTGCTTCCGCTGCGCCTGTGGGAGAGCCACGGTCACAGACTGCCCTGCCATGGCCCACACCCGCCCACACCCACCCACCCACCTGCGAGAAGAGGAGGAAGCCAGCCTCGTCACAGGGCAGCATGTCGTCCACCAGCACCGTGGTCCATGTGCCATCCTTGCACAACCGCACCTGGTAGGCACCCTCTGCACACAAGCTGCGTGTGACCATCACCCGCTCGACCAGGTCAGGCCGCTCGGCCAGCACTGCCAGCGCGCTCAGGAACCTGTGGGAGCCAGGCGGCCTCATGGATAACCATGGCTGGACCACCAGCCTCCCGTCCTCCTCTGGTGGCACCTGGGCCTCACCAGCAGTTCCCCAGCAGCCCCTGCAGGATGTCTGAGGGCTGGAGAGTGTGGAACACAGACCACGCGGCTCCCTGGTCCCTGAAGACGGAGCAGTTGATCTCATGGGGCCGCAGCCACTGCCTCACACGCTGCTGGACGCTGTCACCCACAGGGAAGCCCACAGACTCAGGCCCAGGGGGGAAGCTGTCATCCACAAAGTTCACGCTGTTCTGCAGAGACCAGAGCCTGACACTCAGGCCAGGCAGGGGCACCCATCCAAGGACAGTGCCTGAAAACTGCCTGAGCCCAAGGGAAGGGGTGGGGCTATGTGCAGCTGCTAGGTGGGGAGTGGGGAGTGTGTGAGCCTGGGCAGATGGCGCAGGCCCCAGCTGGAGACCATGGGGTGGTGGGCAAGGGGCAAAGGACACCGGGGCAGTGACAAGACAAAAACAGTGACTTGCCCCAGCCCTGCATGAGGAGGATGCAGACGCTCCTTCAGAGACTGGAGGGCGGCACCCTGGGCTCAGGCCTCCCAAGGCTCAAAGAGTGGAGAGAATGAGGGGTTTCAGCCCCAAGCTTTAGCAAGGTCTCCCTCCATGCTGTCCCCAAAGCCCCCACCTGCGTCCCCACCTCCTTGTAGGCTTGCATGTCTGAGGGAGCTTGGGGATGCTTCTGGGCATGGAGGAGGAAAGGGTGTGGTGGGGGGGGCAGGTGTCATGCATCCTGGTCACCAGCAGGGACCATGGTCAAGATGCCCAGCTTGACCCCGAGCCACGGGGAGAGGTGCCGCCCCTCACTGTGGCCTTGGCTTTGCTCGCTCCCCAGAGCACCCCCATCCCCGGCATTCAGCAGAAGACCAAGCCACAGGAGGCGGGCAGGTCCTGGCCAGAGCCCAAAACTCATGAGGGTAGGGCGGGAGAAGGGGATAACTAAGATGGACAGAGGAACAGAGGAGGCAGAGCAGTCGCGGAGTGGGCGCAGAAGGACTGGGGGCCAGGCATGGCGCTCACCTCCCGGCAGAAGGCCACGATGTTCTCCCAGAGGGCCTTGGCCTCGCCCTCATCTGTCTGCCGCCGCTTCTCCACATGTATGCTCTCCCTGCGCCGCAGTGGCACGGACCCTCGGCGCTGGGCCACCAGGAGCTGGGGCGTGTGGCAGGCGGCGCAGTGCTTGGCCCGGGCTGTGTTGAGCAGGGTGCAGGCAGGGCAGGCCCACTGGCTCAGGCGCTCAGGCAAGAGGCGGGCAGCTTTGTGAGCCGAGGAGATCCGTCCACAGCTGCCACCACAGGGGCCAAGCTTGTCAGCACCACAGTCAGGGCAGTGGGTGGGGGGCTCACTGTGCTCCTGGAAGCCGTGCAGCTTAGAGCAGTCACAGGCTGTGCACCTGGGGGCCGCAGTGGGGTTCCTGAGTGTGCACTTGGCACACGACCAGGTGGTGAAGTCGGGGCTGGAGGGGCTGGCGGGGGTGTAGCGCACAGAGTCACCCGCCAAGTCGATGACGTCGCCACCTGGGGCGGGGCTGCAGGCCTCTCCGCAGGCAGGGCTACCATATGCTGCCTCTTCCTCCAGCACACTCAGCCGCTTGACTGACAGCAGCTCAGCCAGGCGGGAGGTCCCAGCCTGTCCTGTGCCTTGGGGGGGCCCCTTGGAGCCAGGGGAGGGAGAGGGCTGAGTGGCCTCAGGCACCAGTGGCTGCAGCTGTGGGGGGACCTCCCGGCGGCTGCGGGGCACGGGGTTGTTCTGCAGGGTGGGTGAGAAGGGGCTGAAAGGCAGTATCCTTGGGGGCTCCTGGTCGACGGTAGTCGAGCCCTGGCTGGTGGCAGAGTGGTCAGCCTCAGCACCTTCCCCAGGGAGGCCTGGCTGGGGAGGGGCAGGTACGACATGGAAGCCGGCAGGGGCCACAACCTCGGGGACCACCAGGGCCTCAGGAGGGATCCTGGGCAGCGAGAGCTTCCGGGGGCCCCCGCAAACTGAGCAGGAGCTGGCCACGGGTGTGTTGTGCAGTGTGCAGCGCTGGCAGGCCCAGCCACCTCCAGGCTCTGACGCCCCTTTGTGCTCTGGCTCTTCAGGGTGCCCTGGGGCTGGCTCCATGGCTGCAGACGCTTCAGTCTGCACTGCACCCACCTCGTCCTCACAGTGGCCCTTGGGCTCCAGCAGCACAGTGGGTGGCTTGGGCAGGGCCCCGTTGGCGACCGGCAGCAAGGGGACCCCAGGCACAGGCTCTGGAGCGAAGCCACACACTTCGCAGGCCTCCTTGCCCAGGAGGTTCCGGAACGTGCAGCGGGCACAGGGCCATTTCTGCTCCTCCACACTGAGCCGCAGGATCTGGTCCAGGTCGGGCTTGTGCCGGGGGGCCTCGCAGATGGAGCACTGGCGCTGGCCGGCTGGGTTCAGGAAGGTGCAGCGCGCACAGGACCACTCCCCAACTGTGGCCATAGACCCAGGTGAGTGCGTGTGGCTGCAAGGGAACACCTGATCAGTGCAGTCCTGTGACCGCATAAGCACCAGGACACTATCCTCCTACAGACGCGATGGGGCCCGGGGAGAGGTGCCTGTCTGGCTGCAGAGCCAGCAAGGTGAGGAGTGTGGCCACTTGGGTGGGGCTACACTCCACCCTGAGCTCCACTGAGGTGGCCTCTGGCTGAGCATTTGGGGTGGGCAGGGAGGCTGCTGCCAGACAGAGGGCCCAAAGCCTCCACCCAGGATAGGTCCGTGGCTTGGTGGACTCCTCGCCTGTAGGTGGCACAGCAGACCCTTCAGGCCCTCGTCCTGGGGCAGGGGCATGGCTGTCCTGCTGGCCTGAGGGAAGGACTGCCTCATTCTCCCTGGGCTTTGAGATTGGGATGCAGAGAGCAGTAAGCGGAGGCAGCCCCCCAAGTGGAGCGGGTGGGCAGCCTATAGCCTACAGCACAGCCCTCATGCTGGGTGGGTTCCTGGACCATGGCCTGAATGCTCCTGCAGGCTGGGCCCCTGCTCCTCCTCTGGCTATGAAGAGGGGCTCAGGCACACAGCGGGGCAGCGGGATGCACCTGAGGCTCCTCTGGGGCCTTGGTGGTCAGGGGTCGGGGAGTGGGGGCTAGCAGGGCTGATCTGGGTGCAAGGGGTCTCTATACTTCAATACAGTTTCCTAAACTGACTGAAGCTGCTGTGCCTGGCAGAAAAATCAATTGTTCTTTACAACAAGGCATGAAGCTTGTGCTTCTAACGATACGTTTCAGCTGAACCCTTTGGTTCAGGAAAAAAGACAACGTGCCTCTTCAAAAAAACCAGGAAAACAAAAAAATCTCCCCAAGCCACGCCACACTTTCCGGCACCCAGAACAGAGTCTGTGGTGCTGTGTCCTGGCACAGGCCGAGCGCCAGCAGGGAGGACAGGAGTCCAGCTCGGATCCTATGGCTGAGGCTCTGATCCATGGCAGCACCTGCGTGAATGGAAGGGGCTCTGCATGGCCCCTGGGGTAAGCGGACAGGGCAGGGTTCATCAGGCGGGTCTCAGAGTGCCCAGCAGGAGCAGAGTGTGCAGTGCTGGCAGGTCAGGTTTGACCTTGACTTCTGTGCTAGGAAAGGCCTAAGAAATTTGCCTGGAGACAACCAGGCTTCTCCCCTCACACTCCCCACTTGTAGAAGGGCTCTTGGTCAAGGTGTGGAGCACAGTGTGTGCCTGTCCAGGAACATGCATGCACAAGTGTGAGCACATGCTGGCAGGCCCCAGGCTCCACCCTGCATACCCCACGTGGCCTGGCTGCAGAGGCAGCATGGCCAAGCTGACTGGCCCAGAGGACCCCTGTGGACAGCAGAGGTGGTCTGACCACAGCCCACTCTCTGGGAGGAGTCTCCAGAAAGAAGACTCAGGCCCTACATGGGACTATATGTTCCACTGATCACCAGTGCAGGGAGAAGTGGGCCGGGTGCCCTCCCAGGTCCCTGCACACCACAGGAATCCACCAGCACCTGGCACGCCAGGGGGACAGGACAGGTGCCAGGGCAGGAAGGTCCTGTCTGTAGCTCAGAAGGGTTTACATGAAGACAAGGCCTGAAAATCAAATGTCTCTGGGGAGAGAGGTGGCCGAGTGGGCAAGAAGTGGCCCTTCTGCGGCTGGAGGGGCTTTTGGGATGGAGACCAAGGGTGCCCAGGTGCCACACTCTTGCTGACCCTGCCGTCTGCACCTTTCCGTCTCTCCACTGGGTGGGCCAAGGCAGAAGGGGTTCAGGGGTCGGTAACTGATGGCCAGGAGACCTGAGCAGGGACACTCATAAACCCACAGCCACCCCCACGTGCTGCAGGGCCTGGCGGGGGCCGAGGGCTCAGAGACCCAAAACCTTTCAGTCCTTAGATGAGGCTGAACCACCACACATAGCCTGGAAGTGAAACACCCTTGTCAGGAGCCCTGAGAGGTAAATCACCTCAGACAACTGGGCAAGTCCTTCCACAAGTCTCCAACACACAGGACCCAGAGCTGAGTCACCCACACTTCAGCACACGGAAGCAATTACATCTTCCAGGGAAAATGACAGAGCTACTCCTCAGGACAGACAGGCCATGTCAAATGGGAAACAGAGGCAACTGTCCAGAAAAAGCCAACATAAAACACCTGCTCTGCCCTTGGTTATCTGTGTGCCGCTGGCGCTTGGCTCCAGCCTGGAAGGGAGGTGGTGAAGCTGGCCGCTGAGCACATCAAAGCCCCCCTGAGGGGACAAGGAAGTGCATGTTCACCGGCACGTGGAGACCGTGGTGTGCTGCTGCCATGGACAGGTGAGGCCCAGGTCCTTGGGAGGGGCCTTTCCATCCTAGGAAAAGCTAAGAGTGGCAAGTGGTGTTTTGTCCATAAGGACCTCTGAGGCTGGGGATCCCTGGGCAGTCAGCCAAGTAGCCATACCAAGAGACTCGGGTGCCTCTGCCCAGCCAGGTGGACCTGCTGCCTGACCCCAGCCAGTTCTGGAGGTATGCCAAGGTGCCAGGCTTGGCTCAGACTCCTCCTGACTGTGCCTGGGTGGGCTATGCCTCGGGGGCTTCTGCATGATGCTCTCAGAGAGGTAAGGGTGGTGCTGGGCCATACCCCCAAGCTGGCCACAGCTTCCCAGGCGGGTCTGTCCTCCTTATCTCTATGTCCCTAGGCAGCTGATGCCTGAACCAATCACTTATTAAGGTGAGCAGCATGCAGGGCGAGGTGTCAGGTGCAAGGGGGGTCCTGCCAGAGCCTGAGGGGGGCAGAGGAGGGGGGCACAGGCTACCCCTGGCTCTCCCAGCTCCTGTGGCCTGTGAGCTTCTCTTTACCCACACAATGGGGGTGGTCACCCAGGGGAGACAGCACCCACTCTCCTGAGGCATGGGAATCTGAAGGCCAAGGAGGCAGCATGCCCAGACGGATGGCTGCTCAGGGCTGCCACTGCTGCGGGTCTTCACAGCATGTTCCCTGGCCCCCAGTGCCCTGTCGGCACTGAGAAAGGGTCTGCCAGACTGCTCCAGTGCTGGTGCCTTGCTAGCCCCCTGAGTGTGAGCGCACATGTGTGTTAGCACACGTTTGTGTGAGTGTACATGTGTGCGCCTGGCTCCCCTGCGCCGTTGCCCCTCATCTCTAATCTGGCTGTCTGTGGGTTCCTTGAGGTCACGGACAGCATTTCCTCCCAATTTGCCTGGGGGCTCGCCGCTCCACAGACAGTAACTGCCTTGAGGTCCGGTCCACTGCTGTGGGTGAAGGGAGTGGACAGCGGCCAGGCACCAGCCTGGGGAAGGGCTGGCGGAAGGCCAGGGCAAAGGAGGAAGGACAACGTCGCCGGTGTGGCCCTGCAAGCCGAGGTCCAAAGTCTAACATGCACACACACACGCTGGTGCCCTCAGGCACGCCACAGAGGAACCTGCCCAGCAAATCCTACCGGGACCACACCTTGGCTGCTGCTGGCCCAGGCTCCAGCCTCCCCCTGCAGCAAGAGCCACAGCTGCCCCCCCCCCCCCCCC